GTGTGTGTGTGTGTGTGTGTGTGTGTGTGTGTGTGTGTGTGTGTGTGATTTGTAATCCCTGTCTGCCACCTCAGGCAAATTGGTAGCGATTGCAGTCATCGATGAGAAGGACCCCACAGAGGAGAGTGGCAGGTACAAAGAACTCTGAAATTAAAAAGCATGGCTCTGTATAAATGACTCCCACACAGTCCCACGGTTTCCACCATGGTTGTGTTCAAGTGCACGGCTTTCAAATAAAGATAAGGCTCGCTGCTGTTGTTTGAATTGCTCCACAAATTAAAGGCATCGGTCTGAAAAAGAAAAAGGGTTGGACTTCGACTCATGTGGTGTTTCGCTCTCTTCTCATTTGCTTTTAGATTAAAGACCTTGATTCAGAGGGTGGCGAAGGAATACAGAGAACATTTTAACAGGTAAGACACGATGAGGTCAAAGATGAATATCCAATTTATACATTTATTCGAGGATGGCGCTCTCGCTGGGGTGCGCCGCCTGTCTATTCACAAGCTAGTGCATGCCTTTCTCGGGGCACGCATGTTTTCATTGAGGTTCAGTAGAAAGGTAATTATGCAAAATGTCAGCTTCCAAATATAGGCGTTCTACTCAGCTGTCAGTCAGAAACTCAGCTCGATTGGTATGAATGCATAATTCTTCTGTTGTCTCTTGTGCAATAACAACCGGAGATGGGATCTTTGTGTTGCATGGTGCCTTGTTCGAGCCATTCATCTCCTGGAGGGGAACTAATTAAACAAGGCATCTAATACAAAGAGGAAATGCACCTCAAATATATAGTTTCACAACCGCGTTGAAGTTATTTTCGCTGTTAGCGGACTGTAAGGGTCTGAAGGAAAGACGGTGCAAGAACACGGACACTCGGAGGTTTACCGTAGGGCTCCTGACACAGCAGCTGCATGTGTGCATGCTTCAGTGAGTGCAGTAGGTAGGTCACCCTTCAGCTGAAGGACCCAGGTTAAAGCACACGAGCTCAACTGAAGTGGCTCCAATTCAGATCGCCTCTAATGTTGCTGTTCTGTAGCTGACCCTTATCTCTGATCACTCCCAGCAGAGCGCCAGGCGACAGGATTTCCTCAAAAGGATTAAAGAAATAAATAAATAAATCACTTTTTCATCATTATGTTGTGCTTAAGTTCCTCATTGCGCCCCATCATTGACCACGTTGCTTCATCCGACAGATCTCTGCTTTTGATTGAAGAGGTGCATCTCAAACCGCCGTGATCAAAGTGGTCTCCCTCTCCAGGCGTTCCCATTAGGACTGATTTGAATTACACAGATCCCTATCATCAAGTGGACTACTATCCGCCACGCTCCTCTGTGCTGGCTTTTTTTTTTTTTTGAAGACTTGCGTTTGAGAAACCCCGCTGAGATCAGAGCTGCCTGCAGTGTTCCGACATACCTAAACGGTACTTGTAGTTACAAGTCAGGAGCTCGAGTGACGCTCCCGGTGGTGGGTGGCGGCAATGCATAGAGTGACTCAGAGATCAGAGGTGACTGACTGGAGGAGCACCCGTCATTATTATCTTGGCTTCTATGTGCTGGTTGCTGCACAGACGGTTGCTGCAACAAGACCAGACAAGAAGCCCTGTTCACAAACTGAAACCTTTGACTTAAATGGACCTGGACTCTTTAGGTTTCACAGGCTTTGCCCTGCTTACAGGCAATTAGATGTTGAGCAACATACTTAACTTTTCAGGACATCTTAAAGATGCATTAACCAATGTATTTATATCCCAATATCATAAATAAAGTAAACTCCCCCCTCAAGAAACACCTTTTAAGGGGAATAAATGGAAGAAGGGTTGAGGAAGGATCCCACTCTCTCCAACAGACAATATGCAATATTGCAATTGTTTTGTGGTCTGCAACTTTAATGTTTTGTGCACACTCCCACCGCCCGCTGCTTCCAGACGCAGCAAGCAGCAGAACAGCTCCCATAAAGCCACTGTACGCTCGTTAGCTGGTGAACTAGCTGAACATCCTCTAGAGCAGCTAAAGAGCCACAGATTTGAGGGCCAAGAACCGAGCCAAACTACACAAGGTTGATATTGCATTCACAGCTTGCTGTGCTGCACCAACTGGCCAAAATAAATAAATTAAGAAGAGTATAAGAACATCTTTTACAAGAGACGCACAGTTAACACAAGCTTGTTTAACAAGAAATAAAGCTTACGGATGATCTGAATGTCCCCAGTGTCTAGAATGCATATGTGGTGGATTTCTTTTCTTTGCGTATCCACCATAGTATTTAATATATTTCCAACAACATGCTCCTTTTTATGATCATCGGTTGTTCTGTAATTAATTCCTGTCCACAAAGACATCAGAAATCTATCTGCGGGAGCCCAAAGCCTCCTGGTGATACGGGTGACACGGTTTTCCTGTAGAACATTCTAGTGTTATGAACCACCTTATATGATTTGGCAATGGCTTTAATGCCGTTCACCCCCACACACACACTTTCCCTGGTGTGTTAATTCAGTGGGAATCTGGCTTCAGAAAACACCCCCCCCATGAGAACCACATGACGTGGCAGATAACGCCAGTAAATATCGGCTTCAGTTGTTACAATTTCGACACTTGAACGATTCCAGAGGGAACATTTAAAGTAAACAGACAAAATCTCACTCTTATGGACAAATCTGAAAGTGTTTACGAAAAAGTAGCTGTTGTGCATTCTTTCTCTGCGCCTCCTCCAACGCATGCAAGTTTCTCAGTTAGTTTGCTCACCCCTCTGGGCACGTCTGCTCAGCAGTCTGGCCAAGATGTGTCAGTGTCAGTGGGAAGATGGACATACATGGGGAAACGGATTTGTAAATGTTTAAATTATAGACAAAGAATTAATGACAAAAAGTCTTGCACTTGTAGATCCTTCTTTCCAGTGAAGTCGGATCCAAAACTCCTTCAGAGCAGAAGCTACAAACTGACTTTGATGAGCTTCATTCCCAGTTTGTCCCAGTATTGTCAGCATTGTCACTAACGCAGACAGGTTTTTATATTGCATCCACAGGATTTATCATGTAGTTCAGTCTCTTTATAATCATGTCATCGATATAAGCAGGAGCAGTATTGTGTGGCACCCAGGGGACAACCGCGCAATATGTAGCTGTGACTCGGAATGAATATAATGTATATGTTGAGGCCCCTATAATCCGTCATTCAGTGGAAGTCACTGGCTCTCTCGCCCCACGTACCCCCCCCCCCCCCCCCCCCAATTCTACCCACAATGCACTCTGCTCAGACATAGTGCGGCACAATGAGATACAAATTGAATTCCTTCTCCTGCCTTATCGTTTAGATAAATCACCCGAGTCTTTTCTGTGGTGGGGAAATGGGAGACACGCAGGACGGAGCTTCGGGGAATTTTTTTTTTTTTCCTTCTGCAGTGACAAAAATACCACTTTTCCATAACAGAACGTACAATTCCATTCAGTGTGTTCTCATAACTGTGCAGGAAAGTCGGCGTCCCAGTTTCGTGCAGTCCACCGAGACAGGAGAGAAAGTGCTTGTTTTGCTCTACTGTATGTTCTTCTTGATGCACGTTATCATGACACTGATTTGTCTTGCCTCTCCAGAGACTTCCAGTTTGGACACATGGATGGGAACGACTACATTAACAGCCTCATTATGGGGTGAGTGCCTGGAATCCTCTCTCTTCTCTCGTCATGTCCTTCGCTCATCTCCCCCATCATAATTACCTTCTGTCAGCTACTTATCCAGGTCTGGACTGACATGTAATTGTCGGCCTCTGCCATTAAAGATGCTCTTGTGGAGAATTCAATTACACAGACGGTCATATCTTTTTTTTTTTTTTTTTTTTAAGTGTGCTTGTATTATTGTAACCCTCCCCTCCCACACTATTAAGCACACATGCGATTGAAAAAGCACAAGACCACGCAAATCTGCTTGCACATGGGGCGGGATCGTATGGGAATGTACGGATAAGGCTCTGCCTGGATTAGGTCTGTAATGGTCATGTGTTTTATAATAGCGTGTCAAAGAGCAGCGCTAATGATACAGCCAGCCCTGCTGCAGGAGCTCCGCGCCGAGGCCGACTGTTGTTGCGTCGGGCTGGGAGAGGCCCCGCAACTTGACAACCCACACACTTTTAATTAGACAGAGCTGCGCTATAGTGTTACAGGCCAGCAGGGCTGTAGCAGTTGGCGTGTCTGTTTTTATATCTTAACAACGTACAGTGTCTAATTATGTCTCACTTTGTGTAATGTTGTGCGTGTTTGTGTGAGAATCTCTGAGCGTACAAGACCGCTGCGGGATGTTATTTTAATTTGAGCACATTATTGTTTGTGTGAGGGAGATTACAGCAGACATGGCCTCCTAAGTCTTGTGTAATTAAGAGTGCGTCAGTGAGTACAGTAGAAGTCGTATTGGAACATGTGACGGCGTTCAAACAGCAGGCTAAAATTAGACGGGCAGTGTTTATATTTAAGAATGAAAGAGGTGATTAGCTCTCCTAATTTTATATGAGTAGATACAATATGTATTTGCCGGACTGGATTTGGCTGCCGCAGCGCGGGATTAATTGCCCTCCTTTGAGGAATGAAATCCTGGCCTGTCACTGTCCACTAATTCTCTCCCCTAGGAAACCCGTGGAAATAAATCTGATGGCTTTTTATCCCTCTTTCTGTCATCACAGCGATTACTGTGTTCTGGCAGCGGTCCGTCTGGCGTAAGGCTGCCCCTGCATCCACCAAACTCTCACACACACGAGCACCACTCTAAACCCGAGGATGTCTCTTCTGTTTAAACGTGGGATTATCGCTAACCCCTTATATGGAATGCATGGTGGGCTGTGAAAAATGTAAGAGTTGTGAGGTAACAGGAACGTGTATGTGAAGGGAAGATTTGTAATCATAGAAGGTGAATGATTCGGAAGATTGTTACCTCACAAACCAGCCGTTAGATTTGTATGCTAAAGATCGCTTGTGTGGAAATGCTACTTTTTCTTTTTAAGGGGCAGATTGTTTGTCATCTAGTTATGTTTCCTGGACACTCTGTTAATCATTATCACCGTCCTCTTGCTATAATTAAAACCCAAGAAATGCATTTGGTAACAGAAAGCGAAAAGAGAACTCGCAGAAGAGGAATTAATGAACTGCTGATAATGAGCCGGAGTCTCACTTAGTGAGTTAAAAAAAAACCTCATGCAAATGGTGTTTTTAAAACCCAGTTTTCACCTTTTACTTATTTATTTATTCCTTTTATAGACTAGTTCCAACAATTAGTTTTTTGCATAGTTGAATAAGAAGATCGGTACCACACAAATGGAGCTCAAGCCACACAGTTGGCTTACAGCAGTGTAACACGGTGTGTTCTCCAGAACATTGCTCCCCAATTTAACTTCCCCCGAAACCACAAATCCAATCTAAAGAGCGTTGCTATCAAACGTGTGCGTTTCATGCATTAGTGTGGAGGTGAAAACATGAAGTAGTTGTAACTTCAGTGTACTTTGTCAAATCTGGGCTCCAGGCCTGAGGACATTTACATGCTAATATATACTCATAGCCCCGCCCCTACATTTTAGCCCCGCCCCTTTCATAACCAATGAACTGTTGTCGTAAGACACCTTGGGAGTCGTCATTGCACTCAGCAGAAAACTTCCAGACCTTATGCTAACGCACGCTAACGCTCAGCTCCATGGTGAACGCACAGACATGACAGTGGTATTAATAATGAGCGTATTTCCCCAAATGTTGTGCTTAAAGTGTATCTGTGCGTTTTTCTTCTTCTTTGGTTTAAAGAATAGTTCATGTATGACTGTGGTGGTGTCGATCTTTCTCATCTAACAGTATTCAAGAAGTAATTGTATTTCATAAAAAGTCAGATTGTCCCTTTTTAATAATCCAGACGGACCTGGGTGAACTTCCTCTGTAATCATGAATAATTAGCCCTAATTATACAGTATGGCAGCCGGCTTTTGGCAGCGGAAGGGGAAACGTCTTAAATGTGTGTTTTGTGCCAGCTCTAATTCTATAGAGTACAGTGTGACCCTTCATTATGGGCGGCAAACCCCCAGTAGTCTCCACTCACAGAGGTGAATAGGCTAATCCATATTTATTTTAAATGGGTGCCGTCTGTTGGAGTAGGCTGGTTGTCAG